GTTTTGGTGTGACAGGGATTCGAACGTCTTCAGACGTAAGACTTTCGAAACGTCGTCCTGTAGATGGGGTAGCTGACGCTATGGATGAAAATCTTTGCAAGTCCCTTTCTAGTACTCAGTTTTTTTATTGGATGTGAGGCGAGGGAAAATGGGACCAATTGAGATACTGAAACACACAAAAAAGGACTGTCGTGGTGTATTTCAGCTCCTGGGAGAGGAATGGTAGTTAGATCATGAAATTTTTGTGAAGCTCTGTAGGCTCACATGCACCATGTATACTTCCTGTTTAAGAAGAGATTAAGATAGAGACTATTTTGTGTTGTAAAATAAACATAGAATTTAAGCAGCTGCCATCTTGTGTTGACTGTATATACAAGCATCGCATGTGTAGAAGCTACCCAACAAAAATATGGTCTCATATATTGCCCAGACACTCTATCCTCAGTTACATAAGGACGATGTAGAGATTCTGCTAATACAAATATGGTCAACTTCTTGCTATTAAATGGACGGATGGCAATCCAACATCTGAATCTGTTTGTCCTTGTTTTGTTAATGGTTTTAAGTATACTGTGATAAGCAAGTTAAGAACATATCACAATCAAGCAAATGAAGAGGAGTTAAACATGAACAAGTAGACGTTGATGAAAAATATTAAGATAATATTAATAAGCTAATCATTTGTCTTGATTACATTAACATGATTATATTAACGGAATTATCAATAAACATAAACTATAAGAAGCAACACCATATGGACTGACTTTATTATAAGACATGGCCATAATTCTGCTAATTTATCATAACTTTTCAGTGTTATAAGTAATTAAACAATATTTCATAAAACTTATAGCTGGTACAGTTTCTCGTTATATGCAACTTTTGCAAGTACTTGTGGATAGAAAATAACTGAACAGCTAAGGCAGGTTGCTATATATAAAAGTTTAAAGATTAGGAGTCAGTCCTCCGATGGGTCAGCCATCACATTGTGGACTTAGAACGCTGAACGATTCCCAGAAGTGGGCATGACGCAGGTAGTCCATTGTTTAGTTCTGCGCTAAAACAACAACAAACAAATAAAAGTATATAACAAAAAACGTATATTAATAGAAAAAAGATTAAATTATTGTGCATAGTTTGGAATTAGTCTTTGTCATTAAAAATATTTTTTTCGTTGATATGTTCTAGAAGCTATTTATGCGAATTTTATTCAATTGTCTTATAAAATGCTTTAATTATATTTAGGTTTGAGATTTTTCAAAAATGAAACATGGCTGCTAAAATAGCAACCAGTTTGGATTAGAAATTGGAATGATAGGAAATAATGAGTAACTGTAAATTTGAGTTGTAATTACCAGGTGAAAGAAATTAGTTTCGTTCAAAAGATCTTTTTTTTTGTAAAATTACATAAAGAATGCTACTAAATTTATTATCTATCTGTTTAATAACAAATTCAAGACTGTGGGTAAGAAGTATATGTATGATATAAATAGAATTATCTGTTGTATGTTACCATGTCGACCAATCCATGCTATGAAATTATCTGTTGTATGTTACCATGTCGACCAATCCATTCTATAGAATTATCTGTTGTATGTTACCATGTCGACCAATCCATGCTATAGAATTATCTGTTGTATGTTACCATGTTGACCAATCCATGTTATAGAAATATCTGTTGTATGTTACCATGTTGACCAATCCATGTTATAGAAATATCTGTTGTATGTTACCATGTTGACCAATCCATGCTATAAAATTATCTGTTGTATGTTACCATGTTGACCAATCCATGCTATAGAATTATCTGTTGTATGTTACCATGTTGACCAATCCATGCTATAGAAATATCTGTTGTATGTTACAATGTTGACCAATCCATGCTAGATTTAATTTTTTCATTGCAACTTACTTATGAATGTGAAGTTATTTATCAAATCTCCTATAAGTTCTGCTTGAATGAATATGTGACCAATTCAAATGCAGATAAAGCAACAGTAATAACATCATTTAAGGAGACACGAGGGGCACAACGAAATCGTTGAAAATTGGACCTATCGTACGTAAAAGTATAGGTATTGGAGCTTTTAAGAATACGTCATAAACATTGTCCCCCTACTGGCCTGTTTCTAGTTATCGATACACAGAATTATTCCACCATGGAAGAAAAATTCCTCTTCTCCCTTCCATCCTTTTTTTTTTTTCGTACATTATCATCGAACCCTCATTCGCTTCTACTCTGTGACTAATCTGTCATGTGTAAGCTTTCTTAAAAGAGTAACATCAGAACACTTATTACTCATAACAGTAGAGTAAGAAGCGTAAACCTGTTCAATTATATGTTCTACATCGCCAATAATTTAAAATAATTGAAAACGCTTAAATGCGTCAACTCTCACAAATTGTATATAGTTTTAAATCCATATAATTACTTTTCTCATAGAACTTTAAAGTGTTTTTTTTTCACGTTTCTCAATCCTGTTGTCATCATACGCAAATAATCAGGATTACACTTTACTTTATAAAAAATGCTAGAAAAATTGGGTTATTATCCTTTTGCTTTACGACTTAATTCTTTTAAATAATGTACTTAGTATTTCTAATTTATCAGATCAATATACGTTGATTCCATTTTTTAATCAATAATGAAAAAAAATATGATTTTAGATAGCTGTATATTATAGTTTTACGTTGTTAATTTTTTTCTTTGTAACCTACTTATGAATGTAAAGCAATTTGTTGAATCTTCTATAAGTTCCACTAGAATGAATATGTGAACAACTCACAAGCAGATAAATCAACAGTAATAACATCATTTAAGGAGACGCGAGTTGCCATTATTGGTTTATAAGTTATTAAATTTTATTTACTTTCTACATCGTCTTTAATCATTTCAGTTGTAGCCAAACGTCTTTTTCCAGGTATCAGTTTACAATATTTTTTATTCGAGGTACTTGTACGTTTCGAGTTTGTATAAAGAGGATTATAAACTGCTATCTTCTTTTTTTTGGTGGGGGGACAGAAATAAACATGGAGTGTATTATAAACTGCTATCTTCTTTTTTTTGGGGGGGGGGGACAGAAATAAACATGGAGTATATTATAAACTGCTATCTTCCTTTTTTTTGGGGGGGGGGACAGAAATAAACATGGAATATATATATATATATGTTTGCTGATACTATTAAACTTCTGCCGTGTTAAGTATTATACTAGCTATGTATGACACACAAATGTTCAAGTATGTTATTATAACGAAATGTTTGTTTGTTTTTTGAATTTCGCGCTAAGCTACACGAGGGCTATCTAATTTAGTAGTGTAAGACTAGAGAGAAGGCAGCTAGTCATCACCACCCACCGCCAACTCTTGGGCTACTCTTCTACCAACGAATAGTGGGATTGACCGTCATATTATAACGCCCCCACGGCTGAAAAAGCGAGCATGTTTGGTGTGACGGGGATTCGAACCTGCGACCCTCAGATTGCGAGTCGAGTGCCCTAACTACCTGGCCATGCCGGGCCTATAACTAAATTCAACAGACCACTTGACAAAAAAATAATAAGCATTGCTTTTGTTTCTTATATCGGAGTAAGTATGCAAAAGGGGAAGTATTTATAAACAAACAAAGAGATGTTTCGGAGAAATTCAAAGGGAGAATCCACCGCCTAATCTTGATAGTTAAAACGATACGTAAACCTATTTCTGATATTAACTTCAACGAAATTTGAATAGTAATGGTAAAACAAAATGCGGAACAAAGTAGTATGAATTCATATCATGTATTACACAAAGTTTTGAGTTGTTTTTAAGAAACTTTAAAACCTGCTATCGAAACATTCGCAGTTGTTGAGTTATATTGAAACGACTAATACGATGATTAAGATTATTTTAACGTTCGTTTAAAGTGTCCTGAATCTGATGAGAAATAAAAGTGCCGGAATCTATCTGTCTATCAAATTCTCAGTTTTGTGTCATTGTTTATTTCCTTCTCTCCTTAAATATGTATATTACCATCTCATTATAAGGTTTATCAGTGTGTGCAGTTTTTAACTGAAAGTAGCGGAGATAACCAATGAAAAAAACAACATAATATTGTCGAAGTATAGAAACAGAGTAAATAAGAATTTACGCCTAACTCAAGCAAAATTTGACTAGAGTTGTGCACACGAACATACAGAGGTTCCAACTAAAAGATCGATACATCAGCCCTCGAGAGAGGCGTACCTGTATGTAACATGATTTCAGGTGAGGAAAACCATATGTTATAAAACTTACGTTGTGCGGAGGTGCGATACACCTGTGTAGTGAAGCAAGAATATGGCGCCCTCTATTGGGGAGCTTAAAACGAACGCTTGAAAAACGCAACAGACGTTATTTTGACATTTTACAGTTCTGTACCGAACTAAAGTTCCATACAGTTATAAATAACGAAATGAAAACTTTAACATTAATAGTCAGTAATCAATCGGTGTGATCAGAGAGATGTTTTCAACGTGTTACTTAGCTACTGGCAAGGATCGCTTTCATTGGCTAATGCCAGTCAGTGGTATAAAGGAGCATCAAGTGCTTGGCCGGAATCTTAGAACCAGGATGTGTGAAGATGAACAACATCTCACCTGAAGCACAGTACTTGTCGTATTTTCTTTGTGTTATCGTTACATGACATCATGATCAAGTAAGAGTTCACCCAAGTGTTTTTAATTGTTCTCAGTAAACAACTTTCAAAGACAATTTTATAGAGGAAAATATTTTCATAAGTTTAAATGTTTGTCTTTCCTATGTGTCTAAGTTACGTTAACGAACAGTAATAACTAAATGTAGTTGCTATAACATTCTATTTTATTTTATTTCCATCTCGGTTATTATGATTTGTAAGAAAGTTTTAATATAATCAAGTGGCTAAGATTGAATAAGGTGAGTCTTGAATGATGTAAAATTTAGTTTTCTTATTTAATAGGATAAGTTTATTGTTTGTTTGTTTGTAATTAAGCACAAAGCTACACAATCTGTGCTCTACCCACCACGGGTATCGAAACGAGGATTCTAGCGTTGTAAGTTCGCAGACATACCGCTGTGCCGCTGGGGGGGGGCAATAGAATAAGTAGAAAAGTCAAACATATAACCATATTTTTTGTTACTTCTCTGTCTAGGAGTATTTAAAACAA